GCCTTCTTAATTTAAAAGGAGTTTTATTTTGCTCCCTATTTAAAAAATCTTGAAGTAGTTTATAGTTCCCCATCTCCTTTCAGTTACTACAATAAGTTTTAGGTTATTGTAGTAACTGAAGCTTTAAGTGTCATTGTTTTGAATGCCATCTAGAAAAAAATGACACTTTTTGTGTGAAAATTGGTTGAAGTCTGCTCAGTCTTTTTCAGCATTCATTGAAACATTCAACAAGTCAGACCCTGGAACATTGTGTGCCTTAGGTTAAAACTGCATTATACATTTTTTTGATTGAATTTCAGTACTTTGCATCTTAAAATTCATGTGTGAATGGTGCTTCGGGGTCATTTCATACATTTAACTGAATCGAACAGCAGAAAGCATCAGCTACCTGTAGCTTTCTAGTGAGAGTATCTGTTTGATGTATGCTGTATATTGCTGTAGCTACTGGTTTTAACAGGCTGTCTGAAAATCACAAGTGAGGATGCCATCTGGATCTCCTGGAGACTTCCACAAGGTTGGTGCCACAACTGAAATACACTGATTTCCTGCTCCTGAATCTCTCTTGGGATAGGAATCCTCTATACCCCTCCTCAGGATGTGCACTGGCATGCTGAACGGATGACTCAGTTTGAAACAGTGATCCTGCAGATACTCGGTACTTAGCCAGATATGGCTTTATGGGTCAGAATCAGCATTTTAAAATGTAACTAGAAGCCTATTGCTAACCAGTGCAGAGCCTACAGCATTACTGGATTGTGCAGGTAGTGGTTTTCACCTGCCAATAACTAGGCTGCTACACTTTGCATCAAGTTTCTGAGTAGTCTTCAAAAGCAGCCCCTTAAAGAATGCATTGGAGTAATCTATACAAGCTGTGATAAGAGGGAGGGTTACTTTCACCAGGGCCTCATTTCTCCAAGAAGGATTGCAGCTGGCAAACCAAACAAAATTGGATAAAATTCTCCTTAGCCATGATATCCACTTGCTTATCTAGCAGTAATATTGAGTCTAGGAGGACCTTCAAGTTAGGGTCCTGGTCTGTTGGGAGTGCTACGCCATTCAGAATCACCACTGGAGCAGATAGAGTACTAATGGTTTCTAGGCAAACAGCAGCTTAGTCTTGCTGGGATTCGACTTCAGTGTGTGTCTTTCCATACAGATCAGTACAGCCTCTAGTCGCTGGGTTAAGATGCCCATTGCATCATTGGCTTGGCCTGGTGATTTGCTGCATCTCTAGGTATCATCAGTATATCTTTTCACTCCAAACCAACAGAATACTTCTTTTGGTGGTTCTGTATAACTGTTAAAGAATAAGGGAGAATGAAAGAAGAACCCTGTGTAAAAGACTGACACCTTGTAGTATGCAGCAAGTAGACCTGTCCTCTTCCTAGAACTGGAACAACTCAAGAAGGAGCTCAAACTTGACAAAAGGTACTCAGATACAGGATGTGGCATAGCTAAATAAGAATCTTCATTGTATGCAAGAAGAGTGCCCCTTTAAGCAGTTGATTGCCTTCTGTCAATATGAGAATATGGCTGCTGCTTATACCCATTATAGGTTATAGCTGATGCTGATTTTTCCTACCTTTCCTACAGCTTGATGGACACTTCTCTTTGCAGTTTTTAGGCTTGGTGCTACTTGGCTGTAGGCTGTTGACATATCTAGCATTCTGGCTCTAGGAACCTCTAGCTTTCAACATGTCTCCCACAATATATAAGTGAAATAATGCATTCTTGCTCATGATAGCAACTGGTATCAAGTAATATATTGCTTTTAACAGTTAGTATATGCTACTGCAGCTAATTGCTTAGATGGTTTAATACTCCATGAATTTATAAAGCTGTCCAGTTAGTACCTTGTGCTAGAAAGTTCCATTGCTTAACCATATACAGTACTATGAAAATACAAAAAACATAACTATACTACATTAGCCTAGTATTCTATTTACATAGCAATTAGTTAGGTACCAATAGGCAGCCCACAGATGGCACAGATTCCATTCAGTTTGATGGGTATGACCAACTTGTGGCAAATTCTGTAGCTTGAGAATATGTAAAGTGTGTGCGCCTTCAAGTCAGTGTTGACTCCTAGTGAGTGCCTGGACAAGTCCCTGCAGTTTTCTTGGCAAGATTTTAGAAGTGGTTTGCCATTGCCTCCTTTCTAGGGCTGAGAGAGTAACTGGCCCAGAGTCACCCAGCTGGCTTTGTGCCTAAGGTGGGACTAGAATTCACAGTCTCCCATTTTCTAGCCTGGTGCCTTGACCATTACATCAAACTGGCTCTCAGATTTGATGGGTATGACCAACTTGTGGCAAATTCTGTAGCTTGAGAATGCATGAAGAAGTATTTTCTTTTATCTTCCCCGAATCTCTCATCATTGTTTCATCTTATGATCCCAGGCACTAGTGTTATGAAAGGAAACCAAAAGCATCTCCTTCTCCGCTTCCATTACATTCTCTTGGAGAATTGATAAAGCATATCCTGACAGGACTTTGTCCTGTGAATGTGAAAATTGGAGCATGGGTCCTTATTTGAGAAGCATCAGAATGATACTAGAAGCAACATTTAGATCAGAAGGTCTTTTTTCATTGTTGTTCAAAGTTGCTGTGAGTTAGGCAACCTTATAAATCTACAATAAAATAAAATAGATATACTGTATGTATGCTATTGCTGACAGTGTAATTTCAATTGTGTGCTATTAAGGTGCAACAGTATATTCTATTCAGCAGAGCAGCCTTTTGTTAAGTGCTCCCTTAGTAACAGCATCTAAATGATGGAAAGACAAATTTTAGAGCAGTTACCATTTGAGCAGCACATTCATAGTCCTTCCCTTTAAAGAGAAAGTGCAGGAGATGAGAAAAAGGGAGATGTGTGTTGCATAAGAGCATCAGTGTAGTTGAAAGCACACCCTTTGGATTAAGAGTGGTTGACATCAGTTTTATATGAAACCTCCAGCCCTTTCCTTACAGAAGCGTTGATGCTGGGATGGAAAATTGGGTATTAAAATGGAAACATAGGGGCCCAAAGTTATCAAGGTCTGTGAAAGAAGGGATGCTGTCAGAAATGTTTGTGTTCAAGAGAGCAATTTCCAGTGGCCTTGCTCCGTCTTATTTTTTTCCACTTAAATTTTCATACTTTACTTGCCTTCTTAATGCCCTGTCAGTTTCTCTTATTAAGAACATTAGTGGAATGCTGGAATGGTTAGTTCTCCGTCATTTTTTTTAAAACTGTAAGACTCTGAGTGCTATCAGTTTTGGTAAGCTATAGCTGTTGACAGTACTCTGGTTTAGATTTTCATGCAATATATCTATTCTTATGTATGTCTGGTAAGGGGATTGTCTCCCCAAAAGCCTTTCCAGATCTCCATTAAACCACTTGTATTAACTTTGCAGCTTAAATACAATTTCCTGTTCTAACAAAGGAATAATCTGATTCTGTAAATGATGCAACATCTGAAAAGATAATGAAGTTGCTGTACTAACAGCATTTAGTGCACCATTGATTTATCAAGAAAAATAGATTAAGCAGACAGTTTTATACCACTAAACAGCTATTATGTTATGTTTTTATATTTATTTGGTCTATACATCTTTGTGTTGTAGAACTGACGGAAATGTATAATCTCCAGCTTCCAATGCAACATCTGAGGAGCATGACTATATCTGGATCGGGGCTATTAGCTTTGCCACTATGCTACAATTGGCTATGTTCATATAACACACTAAGCCAAAGATAGCCACATTATGTCTTAGCATGAACATAAATTTAGTACTTAATATGAATGTGTACTTCTCAGATCAGCAGTTGTAATTCTATCTCATATGTGACATTTTTCTAGACCTAGGTTCAGACATTTAGTTCGTTGTTTATATGGTTAAAGTTGTCCCATTCCTGTACAAGAAGAGCAAGTCTGAACAGGGATATGCAAGAGAACTACAAGGTTTGCAGAACTACACTCCAGGCAGAATTTTGCGCAATATTGATAGCAAGCTGACACATAATGTCTATGCAGTAATTCTCTTGGAATTCTTTATAACACTTTTTGAAGACAGGAACAACTTTTACCCTCCATAATTTATCAAAGATAACAGAAAAGGACTCTGAGATGATATCTGCAGATTCCTTCAGGACTGTCAGATGTTATTTATTTATTTATTTATTAAATTTATCCCCTCCTATCTCCCCCTAGTTGTCTAGTCTTGGAAACTTAAATTCATTAATAATAACAAGGGGCTCCCTAACTTTCTCTTTACTACCTTGGGATGCTCTTCTCTCCTTTTTGCTCCTACTCCTATTTTTAAATTGTGTGCTGTCTTCAGTAGAGTACTGTATAGTTGCGTTAAATGTAGTAAATCTTATTTAATATAGTAAAGTAGTAAAATAAATAAATTGTGGTTAATAAATATTTCCCTTGTAGTTTCTTAAAATAAAAGAGTACACAAGGGACTTGCATTCTTCTTAAGAAATATAATATTGAATACAAGACGGGAGAAGGCAAAAGCAGAACTCATGCTGATTCATTATTAACGTTTTCAGTTAAAAAATCATATAGTTCTGTTAATGTTTGCAATAAATATGTCACCCACAGTTGTTCTGCTCAAATGCTTAACAAGCTGCTCTAATGCAACCTTCTTGAACATGAGAGACTCTAGATGAGTGACCTCCATCACTTCCAGTCTGCATTGGACATGTTAGTTGAAGGATCATGGGAACTGTATCCCAAAACATCTGGAAGGACCCAGCTTTGTGAAGATTGCTGTAATACTTGTTTCCTACTTTATAGATTATTTTAGTTGGTCTTATGCATTTTCCTTGCATGCTCAATGTCCCAGAACATTTTGTGTAGAAAATGAGTTTTTTCATGGACAGAAACAGTGGAATCAGATGACTGTGCCCATAATTAATTATGCCTCTTTGTAAAATTATTTTGTGGTGGTACTCAGGGGTTATCAGTCAGATTTTTTATGATAAGTTTCCATTTTAAGTCAATTTTTTACTTCTAGGACACCTGTGCTGCAAAGCGCTGGAGTGGAATATGTAAAAAGATATAGGCAATTGGAGGCAGAAGAACTGAATGCAGCAGGTGGCAATTGGTCTTCCACTAAACCAGGTAATTTTTCCCCACTTTCTCCCTTATCTTAGAAAGCCCTTCCAATCATGCATTGATCATAAGAATGGATTGTGAAATGTGGCATTTGGTAAACATTGGAATGAGATCTTGTATTTGAAGGAATGGCTCTGTTTTTCACCAATTTCAAGAGGAAGAGCTGAGCATGCATTTTCCAAGCTGGAAAAAGATACAGCTTTGGTTATCCAGATAGCTGCAGCTGTTCAAGCAGAACAGAATGCTGGATTTGCTCTTCCATCTTTCATTGCTAAAAGATGAATAATTTTGCATTACTTCTAAAAATGGACCAGTGATAGAATTTCTTTTTTAATCCGAGTGCTGTTCTGTTCCATAGCTGATGGCAATTTGGGTCTTGTCTTAGAGCAAAAGGCAAGAAATTCTGTGGATGATGGGAAGAACGTCTCTTGTGTTAGTCTGGGTCTATGAAGGTCCTTCGGATTGCTCTGGCTTAACTTGAGAGTTTATGTGTGTTCATATCTGGAATACTGGGCATAGTTCTGGTTGCCCCACTTGAAAAAAGATATAATAGAGCTAGAAAAAGTGCAAAAGAGGACAGTCAAGATGATCAGGGATTCAATAACTTCCCTAGGAGAAAAGACTGGAACCTTTACCGTGGAATAAAGATGGCAGAAGAGGACATGTCTGAAGTGCATAAAATTCTGCATGGCATGTAGAAAATAGATTGGGGAAAGTTTTTCACCCTTTCTCAACGTTAGGAACAGAGTCCATCCAATGAAGCTGGCTGGAAGGAATTTGAGAAGAGATGGAAGAAAGCACTTCTTCACATAGCCCTTATGCTAATCTTTGAATTCATTAATATAAGACACAGTTGTGGCCACTAACTTGGGTAACTTTAAAAGTGAATTGGGTAAGTTAATGCAGGTCTGTTGATAGCTATTGATCTTGATAACCTACTACCCCTTGGCTTTTTGGTTAAGATAAAGTGTAGATAATTTAATATTACTTATTTATGTATTTGATTTACACCCCATCTTTTTTGTACAGGAGCTCAAGGCAGCATACATAATGCTCCTTCCTCCTGTTTTTCTCCACAACAAGCACCCTATGAGAGTTGGACTGAGAGAGAGTGATTGGCCCAGAGTCACCCATTGAACTGAGGATGGACTAGAATCTGGGTGTTCCCACTCCTAGTCCAGTGTGCTTCCAAATACAAGTTGCATAGAAACCATGGTGGGAGAAGGGTATGTTTTTGTTTCCTCCTTCCAAGCACCCCAAAGTTACCTGGTTAGTCATTGTGAAGAAAAATATGCTGTATTGATTGGGCTTGCCTGATCCAGCAGGGGTGTTATTATGTTCTAAAATTGGTGCACCTGTTTCATCTTTACAACTTCTGAACCTCTCTCCTGAAACGGTCCTTGGCTCTACTCATTTTTGTAGTGTAGCTATTGATGTGCCATGCAAAGCCTAATGTATCCTTGAATTGATAGAAGTTGATTTGTTTATTTTTTATTCACATAAGCAAACAGGAGCTTTATTTTTTTTATTCACATAATTTGTATTCTAGCAATTCCAGGTGGCTTAGAATATATGAAACTAAAATCACCCATAAAATCATGATAGAACAATTCCCAGTTAAAAAACATTACAGTATATACTCGCATATAAGCCCATCTGCGGATAAGCCAACCCTCAAATTTTTAACCCAAATATCATGAAAAATGTGCCACCTGGGGATAAGCTGGATTGAAATTTTTGAATGTTTTAATTTTCACAATTGGCTTGTCTGCGGATAGCACGTTTCTCATGGTATTTGGGTTAAAAATTCAAGGGTCAGCTTATCTGCAAATGGGCTTGTCTGTGACTACCTAGGGTTAGGGTACTTTTAAAAAGTATTACTGTATACTGTGGTCATGTGATTGTGATCTGTGACCTTCCCTGCTGGCTTCCCACAAGCAAGCCCCATTGCGCTTGCGCCATGCCTTCTCTGCTTCCTGCTCACCCTCTCCCACCCAGCAGCAGCCACCCAAGCCCCACTGCACTTGTACTGTGCCTCCCTGGCCACCCATGGACCCCCTTGCTCCCTCTCCCACCTGGCAGTAGCCACTTAATCTGCCTGCTGGCTTGCTTGCAAGCAGTCTGGGACTTGCAACTTCCCACCAGCTTCCCCACTGACTTTGGTTGTTGGAAGCCGGCAAGAAGTTGGGAGGAGCTGCTCACTTAACGACCCATGATCCTCGCTTAACAATGGCAACAGGGACTGCATGGATTGCCGTTGCTAAGCGATACAGTCGTGACGTCGCACTTTACGACCGCATCGCGTATTGATAGACATTCCAATCCCAATTGCTGTCATAACTCGAGGAATACCTGTAACAATACCTGTATCAGCAAGCAGCCAACTGCATTCCTTGTCAGGCTGCAAATTTGGAGTCCTTTTCAAGGACAACTCCATATAAAGTAAATTGTAGTCATCTAACAGATGACAAGGATGTAGAATCCAACTTTCTGCTAGTTGTGGATCTTTTTACTGATGAAGCTTACTAGTTACCATTTTTCCATTTCGCCCTTCTGTAGCCTGTGTTAACACAATACACTGAATCACAAACGAAACAAACTTACTTTATCTTAACAAAATAGAGTTAGGAAATTATAATAAATATTTTTGGGGCCACACTTGAATGATATGTCTCAGAGATGTCTCTCCATTTAATTAAGGCAGTTAATGAATGCATTAGCTGTATTTCCAGTGACATGAGTTATTTATTTATACATAGATTTAAAAAATGCCTGACTCCCAATGACTCTGAACACTTTACACAATAAAAAAGTAGAATAACACATTAAAGAACAAAGAGTTGTGCGCCCAGAAGAATACCATGTCAAATAAAACCATTTAATATTTTAGACATCTTGAAATATTGATGCTACTTATAGAGCTGAAGTAGTTGAAGTACTGATGAGTAAAAGCTAGGTAAGGATCTTGCACATATAGGAATATAGAAAAGGAAATGAAGCAAGGTATCTTAAATGGGAAATTCCAGTGGTGAGTATCAGGAAAAAGGGAAGCGTTTGGCAATATAAATGTTCATAAATGATGTCACCTTTTTGTTGTGCCTTGTTATAAAGGGGTGGGGCTTTATTATGGTACAATTATTAATAGTGTTTACTATAGGAGTAAAGTGGTGCCTTGGGAACCATTTCTGAAGAAGCTGGAGATTAAAATGTGTTTTAGCTTTAACTAAAAAGCAGTTGGGAATAAAATAATTTCTTCTGTTAATGTTGTGCAAGGCAGTGTCAAACTTCTGCTTGCAATCCTGTTTGGAACTGGATTAAAAAAATAAATTTAGCTTCCTAGTTATTAACCAACAAATTTCTAGGCACCTATCAGTGAACTTCTGGGATTTTTTTTAGCAGTGCTTGAAATATTTCTCCTAGCAGCTTGAAATATCTTTTAGCTCAGTTGGTCAAATTGAACAGAGCTCTTGATGTTTCCATACTGACATCTCTGAATTTGCCTGAGGGTGGATACCAGCCAGCTCTATAATGTTGTGACAAAATATATGAGTCTTTCAGAAGAAATTTATATTTAAAAGTAGCCCAATATTAATAGTAGTATTTTATTGTCATCACTATAACTTTTAAGAACAAAAGAATAGCCTAATTTTACTTACCATACTGTAGTATGTATGTATGTATGTATTTTATTAAATTTATATGATAATTAGTTATCTTAGTTATTAAGCCCAGATATATAAACAATTCACATATATAAACAGTTCATTTTACTTAAACTGCATCAGAACCAGAGAAACAGGATTATGAGATTTGGAACAAGCCAGGATCTATGCAAGTCTATTTCAAATCATGGTTAAGATTCTGGCTTGTTCTAAACCTCTGGCTATTTGAACAAGATGGAAGCAGTTAATGCAAGATACTTTGTGTAACTTTTCTCTATTCAGTGTTGGTCAGACCGCACCTGGAATATTTCACCAAGTTCTGAGTACTGTATTTTAGGAAGGACGTTGACAAACTGGAGCATGTCCAGATGAAGTATTGGATATGTTTAGCTTGGAGAAGTTTGTAGGGAGACATAATAGCTGTCCTCAGATATTGGATGTCATGTGAAAGACAGGGCAGAATTGTTCAGAGTTGTTCCAGAAGACAGGACAAGAAATAATGGATTTAAATTACAAGGAAGTAGATTTGGCTGTATATCAGGAAAAATTTCCTAATGTTAAGATTTGCTCCTTACTGGAAAATACTGCTTCAGGAAGTGGTGGGCTCTCCTCATTGGAGGTTTTTAAATAGAGGCTAAATGACCATTTGTTGGAGATTCTGTGGTAATGAATACCTGCTTTCCTTCCAATTCTTTCAGATTCCATGAACTGCCATAACTTTAATAAATCTCAGTATCAGATGTGACTGGGATAATGTGAAGGCCCTTCCAAACTGTAGCTTCATGGTCAATAATAGAGGCTGTGTTCTCGTGACATGCTAACACGATTGACTGAATTAATTCAATTGACAGGGCACAACATACTGAACCATAAAGCAAGCATACTGGCTGGGCTTGCGCAACAAAATGAGATACAAACCAGGCAACCACATTACAGATAGTCCTCATTTAACATCCATTCGTTCAGTGACTGTTCGGAGTTACAACTGCACTGAACGAAGGAACTTACAACCGGACCTCAAAGTTCTGGCCATTGCAGCACCCCCACAGTCACATGAACAAAATTTGAGCCCAATCTGGCCCACCCACACTTACAACTGCCTTTTGGCCACCCGCCTACCTGCTGCCGCCAGCTGTCCTGCCCCCTGGCCCTGCCCCCCCCACTGTGTCCACCTCACTGTGCGCCACTACTGTACTGGCTGGAGTCTTCTTTCATGCCACCTTTCGTGCTGGTGCAGCTGGGGCTTCTCTCACAGCCTGCCCGGGGCCTCTGTTCACATGCCAGCCAGGGCTTCCATTCCTTTTTTTCCACAAAAGAAGCCTGGCACATGAAAGAATGCCCCAGCTGTGCTGGTGCAAAAGAGGGCCCTTCTTTCGTGCCAGCACATCCAGGGCCGTCTTTTGCACACTGGCAAGAGAAACTCAATATGTGAAAGAAGGCTATGGCTGGTGTGTGGTTGCAGCTGCAGTCAGGGCTGGGCAGCAAGGGCATCTGGCAGCAGTGGGTAGGTGGGTGGCCAAAATGGCAGAGATGGGGGGGAGATAGGCAGGTGGGGGAGTTCAAGAGGAGGCAGTCCCTTACATTACTGAGGCCCGGAGCTGGAAGAGACCAAGCCTAATGACCGATGGGATTCAGTTAACAATGCCAGTAGGAACTGCTGGGATTTTCATCCTAGGCGATGTGCTCACGCAACGTTGAGCTTCACAACCTCATTGCTTAGCAGTGGAAATTCCAGTCTCAATTACTGTTGTTAACAGAGGACTACCTGTATATCTTACTGTGTAGTGTGAATCCAGTTGTCAGATGAGAGTCAAAAGCTACATTGTCAGCCTTGCCTGTTAGACCTTAACTTATACTACTGCTACTATATTTTAACTGCTTATTGGTTGCTGTTCTTTGTTCTTAAACAAAATTAGCTTTTTTATAGTGTCTTACAATTTAATTTCTTTAAATTAAGATGGGAATACAAAAATGAGGTTAATAATGGGAACTTTGCAGCTCCGTCTCCAAGAGCTCATTCTAAACTTTAAATAAAACGAGGAGATAGATCTGAGGTGGCAGAATCATAAACGAAAATACTTAAATCCCAGGATAGGTTAGGAGAATCCTCCTCTGTATGCTTCTGCATAAAAAACGTTTGTCCCCTCTTTCTGCAGTCCCTAATCAAGAACTGTGCAAAGTAATTATGTAGTTAGATTAGGAAGAGATCCAGATTCAAAAGACAAAATGTAGCATAGAACGCATCCAAGCAGCTGACTTCTGCAGATGCTGTGTGACCTCAGGAAAATATATTTTTCGTTTAAGAAGTTTCTGATAGGTGTTATATGAACGTAAACCTAAAGCACTGTTGATTTGATTATTTATGATTGAAAGAATTAGTAAAGGATAGAAGTGTGACAAGAGTTCTGTATGTGAGACCAACCACTTGGTAGTGTCAAAAGTAGATATTTGGGAAAAATGAAAAAGAAAAAACATGAAAGTAAAAGTTGAAAAAATGCGGGAAGCTACGAAACAATTGTTGCAAAAAATAAGGATGAGAAAAATATGGTATAATGTGTAGAGATTGAAAAAGATATAGGTAGTCCTTGACTATGTCCATTCGTTCAGTGACTGTTTGAATTACAATGGCAATGAATGAATGGTGGTTATGACTGGTCCTCAGAGTTCTGGTCGTCCCAGTAGTCCTGCGGTCATGTGATCAAGATCTGGGCGCTTGGCAACCAGTTCACACTTAGGAGCAGTTGCAGTGCCCTGCAATCACGTGATCACCATTTGCAACCTTCCTGCTGGCTTCTCTAGAAAGTCAGTGGGGAAGCTAACAGGAAAGGTTGCAAGTCACTAGAATAAGTCTCCTCCACCCGCGCACCCTCCCCAGCCCCTCTGCACTTCTGGCCACTCACTCACCCTCCCACACCCTCCCCGAGCCTCGCCATGCCTTCCTTGCACCCCTGTGCACCCTCCCTGACCCTCATTGCACCTGCTGCACACCCTTGTGCACCCTCCCTGATCCTTGCCACACCTCCCTCGGATCCTTGCTTGCATCCTTGTGCACCCTCCCCAACCTCGCTGTGCCTCCCTGGTTCCCTCACATGCCCCCTTGCGCCCTCTCCCACTTGGCAGCAGCCAGTTAAACTGCCTGCCAGCCTGCTTGTGAGCCACCTGGGACTTGCAGCTTCCTGCCAGCTTCCCCACTGATTTGGTTGTAGGAAGCCAGCACGAAATTGTCTTGCCTAACAACCGTGGGATTTGGCTAATGATGGCAACTGGGACTGCGGGGATTGCTGTTGCTAAGCAATGTAGTTGCGCTTTATGACCGCATTGCTTAGCAATGGAAATTCCGGTCCCAATTGCTGTTGTAAGTCAAGGACTACCTGTAGTTGCAAATAATGTATTCAAGAGAATAAGGAACAGTTAAAAGAGAGAAAATGCAGGGTGATTTTGATGGAAATAAGTAATTTTAGAAGTGGGTGAAAAATGAAGCAAGGAGCTTACAGCAAAATGAATGGAATTAAAAATAAAAGTGATGACATTATTTGTGATGAAACTGAAGTGGGAATGCTGGAAGGAGAATGATTGTGATGGGAATACTAATTTGTATGAGAATGATAGTGTGGTATCTGAAGGAATGGTATTGAAATAAATACTGTAAGTGTTAAAATTGAAGAAAAAAATGATGAAAAGGAAGCCATTAACACTGAAGAAAAGATGGTAAGGCTGCAGGTACAGATGATGTGACAGGAGAAATACCTGTACTAAAATTATGCCTTAATATGTTGTATAAATTAGGCCATCTGTTATTTCTCTAAATTCATAATTTCAGGTGCTCGAAAGAAACAGTAAAATGTGAATGGTGCATATGAATGAGAAAGAATTTCCAGTTAGAGCCAGTATCTGAATTTTGATTGACCAGACTTGACTTGCTAGATCACTGAGATACTGTATCAGTTTTTGCTTTCATTTCTTTTCATCCCTTTTCATGATGCCTGCCTGAAGTACAGTAGGCTCCTTCACCTTTCTGGATGCTGCTGCTGCGTGATAGAGCCAACCATAGATGTTGTGCACAGTTGAAGGAATAGTTGGATATTAGAATTAGAAAAACAGGCAGCTGTTCAGCAGAGATGCATTCAGTATCTACTGCTGATCAAAACTTGGATTTTGTGGTCTCTGAGCACAACATTTTGGTTAACCTGCATTTCTCATCTCTTCATTTGTGTCTCCAGGAACACCTCAGCACGAATCTACTCTTGCTACTTGCATACCAGATGGCAATTACAAATATCCTGACTTGCCCATCTCAAGATACAAGGAAGAGGTACCTACTTCTTTTTAAATCATAGTTTAAGTTACAACTGCTATGTCTTTCTTCCCCAGTGCCCATACTTTTTTTTGATCAATTGTGTTTTGTCCATTAATGGTTTTTGTGATGCTGAGTTAACTTTATTTTTCAGTCTTTCAAGCTTGTCTGTGTATATGTAAGTTTATATTAGGCTAATTGGGTTTGTTGTTGATCCTATTCTGAATGGGAAATTCACTGCCTCTCAAGGTAACAAGTGCACAGCCCAGAGTGTTACTAAATATGCCACTTACTTTGTAAATTCAAGAGATGTTTGTGGCCTGAAGTGCTTTTCTTCAGCAGTGTTGATGTGCCAGTTGTAATCCTATCTTGGGGTGGATGATGTTGCTAAAGTCATTCATACTTCAATAATGTTGCAATGGAATTATTCAGAAGCATGGAAGTTACAATGAAGACCTGCAGTCCTTGCAATAAGGCAGCAAAAC